CCCTAACTATGTCCTCTCTCATACCACAGCCCTTCAGTAAAAAAGAATTGCAGTGTCTTTCATCACAATATCTACATACCATGAACAACTTGTTTTCAGATTTCATTTCTATAAGAAACACGCCCCTAAATAGAAGCATCTAGTCGTAGAAAATAAATTTCTGCACTACTAAAATATTTAACTTAATGATTTGTATTTTAAGAGGAGATAAATTCACCTTTTAAAGACTCAAGTCAGCATGATGCAAGATGCTTCTTAGAAAAAATTCTGTCTCTGCCTCTCACAATCACACTGAAAACAAAAAACCTCCACGTATATACTAACTTTAAAGTCTGCATGGCCAAATTTAGGGAATTATATAGAGAAGGCTCTCCACTGCAGTTCATATCCACTGCTTTCTTCAGAGCAGTTACATGCTTTTTTGAGTTTCCTGTAAGTGAAAAAAATGCAATAAATTTAACTGATACAACAAGTTAAAGAACAGAAATATTTAAACTGTTTATGTAATGAAGTGTACTTGTACAATGACAGGGACTGGTTTCAAAGTGGAATGGGTCTGTATTTTCCTTAGAAATTGATATCGTGATCAGAATGCAGAAAAGAGTAAAACAAACTTTTACTCTATAGGCACTCAGATGCTAGAAACTTTAGAAGCCAAAAAGAATAAAATCATTGCTAGGTATCATTAAGCACTCAACATGAGGAAGAGATGTCCCCCAAACAGAAAAAGAGTTTTGTTTCCTCTGTTATCCTCAAAGCATGGTTCAAAGATTGACTGATCCTCAATTTCCTCAATGAAACCTGCTGAAGCCACAGAGACTGGTGTAACAGCAGGCAGGAACTAAACAAACCTTGACTTCTTAACATCAGATCTCACAAAACCCACAGATGTCATAACATACAAAATTAACAAACTGAGTAGAAAATTAACTATAGAGGAATCAGAACATATCTGAGTTGTACTCTTCTCGAGAAAGAGACATAAGATCAAGTCGAGACTTGATCACAAACAAGCACACAATGACAATTCTGGATCAAAGCAGATCAAAATGTAGATTATGGTTTCAGACAACTTGCAATAACTTATCTTTTAAATTAAAACTAGTTATGATAACATAATTTCATTTGCAGCAGTGTATCAAGGCAGAATTTATAACACCAGTGAAAAGGATAAAAACATCTGCAATTTAAGTAAAGAATACTACTTCCCTACCTGAGAGTTCTGTCATTTTTTCAGCTCTTTTACTCTTGGTTACAATTAAGCCAATCTGAAAAAGAGGGGGGCGGGGGGGAAATAGACCAAACTTAGAAAGTTTTACGAGTTTATTTAGAATTTTGCTGTATTCTTTTACATCTTTATGGACAAGAATTATTTAACCATACAAGTCTATACAAGTTTTACTTCCAGTGTAACAATAGCAGCACAACATGATGCATCAGTTTATAAACACTCCTGTATTTTCATTACTACTGCCAAAACGTACAAAAAAAATCTTCTAAAATTCTAAATGCCCGGCAGAAACAGGCAGAAACAAGAATTTCAGCAGACTGATGGATAAAGGATCTGAAGGTACACTTAAATTGAAAACAGTTTACTTAGTAGTGTTATAACTGAAACAACCTTTTAAAATATTTTCTGTTATTTGTTTCTTGCATGGTTGTACATACCTGACTAATAGGATTCTGGTCAAAGTACTCTTCAACAAAATATTCCAGTAACTATAAAGAAAAGTTAAGGCAGTTAACTAATTATATTTTTAGTACAAATACATTAAGTAGACGCAAAAAATCTAGTATCACTACAAAGCAAAACAAAGTAGTTGGGTAACACAAAAAAGGGGAATGAGCCTTTCCTTTCCATTTTTCTTTCACCCTATCCCTCCCCCTTCATCCCAAGTAATCAATTAAATGACATTTCAGAAACTACACCCCCTCCTTATTTTATTCATATCCTATGTTGAAGTTCTAGATTCCTGCTGGTTCAAAAGGGGGGTTTCAATATGCCAAAAAGCACTACTCTGTACAAAACCATCAAAATCCAGGATTTCATGCTCAAATATTTTTGGAGAAGACCATACAGAACATGATGTACACAGTTCAAGTACCCCAAAACTTGAAACAGCAATCCAGTTCAACTCTCATCTAACATCTTTTCAAATAAGAATTCATAAAAAAGCCCAACTGTAAGAAAGAAATACAAATAAATTCTAGATGTGTAATGAGAACATGCCATCCCCTTATTTTGGGCAACACTTAATTTCCACATAGTTTCCAGATCTGTCTTCCCATATTATGCCCGTACAAAGTGTTTTCACTCTACAGAAGTACATGTGCAAGGAAACTAATGCCCCACAGTAAAAAACAGGAAAGTTTTTTACTATTAAAAAAACAGGACAGACAGAAACAAGGAGTCAAAAGTAGAGATGATAGATCAGAGGCTATGCAGATACAGGAAACTGCAATTCTTCGAAATGCAAAATGCAACCAGTTTATAGAGAAATGGTGGCTCAGAAAGGAAAAAAATGAATGCAGGAATACCTTCAGAGTGCAAGTAAGTCTGTTCGGTTTTAAGTCTTGGTCCTCCATTGTTCTTGATCCATCAATAACCACGTAAAGGTGACGCATCTGCATTTCCACCATACGTGAAAATCACTCACAGAATACATATTGAAATGAATTCATTATTCCATTTACTTCAAAAAATTACTACTTCCTCCCTCTACCAAGGAAGATTCAGTAGATTGAGAGGTGCAATTAACAGCAACTGAAAAGTAACACATTCTTCCACTTTTTTCTTAAAATTAAAAAAAAAAAACTGTGCACTATTCTCCTCTCATGACAAGCATACAGAACATGCATAGTTTGAATATTCATGTCTTTATCTGAAAGAGCTCAGTGTTGTACAAAGCAATGTGGTTATTTACAACACATTTCCATCATGTCCACTTTTCACATGAAGAGAAATGGACAGTGTGAGCACGTGTGGTCTGACTTCTGCTGCCAAACACACCCTGTGTGACAAACCTCCAACTCTGAATAGCCATGCTTCGCATACATACTGCTAACAAAGAATGCTTTAAAAAAATAATAAGTAACAGTGGAAACCACAAGGTTTGGTATGAAGTATGCTAGGCCAGCAGAAGTGTATTTCAGATCTGGCATACTACCTCTAGACAAATAGTTTTGGACTAAGGACAGAAGAGGGTTAAGGTATTAACATACCATTCCAAGCCGAACTTGTCCATGGTGTTCATAGAGTCTAATAAAACATAATAGAATTATTTAAGTCAAATTCAAATGAGTAAATGGCTCCTAAAACAAAAGTCCAAATAAATCCAATACTAGACTTCCGGCTAAAATGTAGAATCAATAAACTGCAGACACTCATGCTGAAACACCCCACAGCTCAACTGCAGCTTTCACAACTGTCAGAAAATAAATAATAACTATTTCTAACTACCAGGTTTAATGAAGCTTTAAAATTTTATCCAAATTTGACAAAGCTAGTTCTATTCTAACTTGAAATAATGAAAAACATAGGATTTTTTTTCTAGCCATTTTTCTGAAATCTGCACCTGAAGTCTGTAGCCATGATACCAGAAGCTAGATTCTCTTGTGACAGGACAAGGAGCAAGGTTTTTAACTAAAAGAGGGCTGATCTAGATTGGAGAAAAACATGTTTTTACCATGAGGGTAGTGAGGCACTGGAGCAGGTTCCCCTGCAAAGTGGTAGATGCCCCATCCCTGGGAGACTTCAAGGTCAGTTTGGATGGTGCTCTGACCAATCTGGTCCAGTGAAAGGTGTGGCATGAATGGCTCACGACAGGTTGGACTGAGATGATCTTTAAGGTCCCTTCCAACTGAAATTATCCTGCAATTCTCTGATCTGTATACTAAGAAAAACTGATGGAAGATTCCTCTAAGCTGTGCAGATTGCAGCTGCAGTGCTCTGTAGTGTTTCATCAGATCAAGACCTGTAGCTGTAGCTTGCATACCCATGGGATACACAGCCAGTATACATCCAGTATTTAAAGATAAAAATTAATAATTCACCTTTTTTTTTTTTTTTTTTTTTTTTGCATGCATCTGTCCCTCTGAAAGGCTATGAAAACATCCTGCAGGCATGCCTTCCGCTTAATTCATCCCACAGGACCCAGTTTCAGGATGATCAAGCGCTTATAGCTGACAAGTCAGTGCTATTAGCAGGCTCGTAGCCACACCACGTACCTTTTCCTCTTTGCCTTGAAGAGAATGTCCTCGATGGTTGCCTTCAACGACCCGGATTCGTCTTCCTTAAGAATTTCCCTACGCAGAACAGACTGTTACGGTGGGCAGAAGGGAGGTTTTTCCTCCTCCTTTGCCAGAAAGGAGAGAAAGGTGAGGGGGGGAAGAACATACCATGTTCTTTCGTAGCCACCTTCCCAGCGCTTGGTCCGCTCGGGTTCGTCATCCATCTCCGCGGGGGCTGAGGGAGACCAGGGGAAACGAGAGGGGCTCAGGGGTGACGAGGGGGACTGCGGGAAGAAGACGGGGGTGAGAGGGGTCTGAGAGGAGCCGAGAGACACTGAGGGGGGTGAGAAGGGCCGAAGTGGGCTACGAACAGCCGAGGGCAACCGAGGAAGGCTGAGCAGAGCCGCAGCACACCGAAAAGAGCGCGGAGCCCTCCCGCAGCCAGGCCCTGCCGTCCCCGACACGTTGGTGTCCACCCCCTTCCGCCTCTGTGCGCCGCTAAACCCTCCCGGCCGCAGCCGGGCCGCGGAGCCACCGTGCCGGGGAGGTTCCGCTGTGCTTTCCGCAGCTCCATCAAACCCACCCGGCTGTGCTTTCCGCAGCGCCATCAAACCCTCCTGGCTGTCTCGGAGGGGAGCAGCGCCCGGGGAGGCGCCTCACGGAGCCATGGCTGGGGCGGGCGCGGCGCCCCGTCAGGAGCCCTCTCGTGTGCGCGGGCACGGCCGCCGGGCTCACGGCACTGCTCTGCCTCGGTGGCACTGCTGCAGTTAACCGAAGAAATCTCAGCAATTAATGCAAGCACGCAGGACCCTGGGAAAAGCACTGGATTTTAACAAATGACTGTGCTCATACGCCGATTAATACCCCGCCAGCAAAAGCAAGAAATATCAGGTACTTTGGTGTTAAGTAATCCTATTTTCCATCTACCTAAAATATTTGAGTATTCATGTCACGTCACCAAGAGTTTCCATTTCATAAGCACAATGAGGATTAGCTCAGAGCTAGCTGAGCTACTTGCTGATTACTCTGCAGAACGATTAAAACTTTACTGGATACAGTGGAAGTTTGCCAAGAATGGGCTTCACCTCTTGAATTACAGGAAAGTTACTGAACATCCGGTCCTCAGGAGTCTCACTCAGCATCCAAGTAAGACAATACATGAGGAAGAAAGCATGTAAATAGTAGTGGCAATTCTTGAAACAAGAGTGGAACAAAACTAACCACTTCTGTGCCCTTCAGCTTATTGCATATGTCAGGAGCAGTGTATAATTATAATGGAAAGAGAGGAGAAAATAATTAGCTTTCAGTTAAACCATTCCTGGGAAAAAGCGATTTTTTTTTTTTTTTGAAGGAAAGCAATCTGAAGACAAGAAAATAATTATTTGAAAAGTCAGGATTTGCTTCTTGGAACTGAAATAGTTGATTGAAAAACTCCCATTAGAACATACACCATTTTTTCTTTAGAAGGAAAAAGTCTAATTTATTAAACACTGAAATGAAATATCTTATAAGCTAGCACTTGGAATAAAGTAAATGAGAAATGAGACTTGTTCCAGAACAGGAATATTTTTTATTCTCAGGACCAAGAATTTCAGTGCTGGACTGGAATGCAGGATATACAGTAATTTTGTAAAACTTTATTGTACAAATGCTTGAAATCCCACCATGATTTTGAAATTAATAAATAACATACTGGACACCTTCTTTTACAATTTCAAAGCAATTAGGTTCTTAATTGCCATGGGCATTTGTAGTCACTATGCTGGCATGAAAGCTGGTCAGGCTATTGTGCAAGACAAAATTTTGGATATGTTTATTAGTCACTACTTATGTGGCCTGAAAAAATGTACAGTTTAGTAAAAAGTATGCCAATCTTTTTTGACCACAGCTGTTTTGATCTAGGATACACAACTGCTTACAAAGACAAGAAGAAACATAAATACAGTTTAGAAACTACGGTATTTGTAGAAACACTAAGAACCTTGAGCATCTCAATTTGTAGATCTGTGCAGCCAGGTAAGCATTTTCTAAGAGGAAGACTGAACAATAAAATGTCTTTTTACACTTGGGGTTTGAGGAGAGGCTGTAATTAAAAGCAAGTCCACTGATGTAAGGCAATATTCCTTGGTGATTAATTTATGTGTTAACTACCTTCTGCAAAAAACCCAGTCACACAGGTAAGACCACACAGCACATTGTTTACACATACATGCAAAAATGTAGATTCAGAGCTGAGCCTAGAGGGACTGCACAGAGACACTGAGGTGATAATCAAATAAAATGTCAAAGTTTTGTCTGGAGTATGCCTTCTATTCTTTAAGAAAATCAAGAGGCCACTTTCCTTGATAGTTCTTATGGTAACTCAGATTGAGGGATTCTCCCATCACTTTCCTCCTGATTTCTGTCTTGCTTCAAGTTGCTTCAGCTTCCAGACATTAATTCTTATTTCATTCATCTCAATTTCTCTGAGAGATGAACAAGTCAGACTAATCTTAGACTAACAGTTTTTCTCCAGTATGTCTGTAGCATTGTAGACAAAACCTTTTTCAGTCATCCATTCATAGGTTAAGAAGAAAACCAGCACACAGATTATACACACTAGAAATGCTTCAGCAGCTCTGAGGTCTGTAACAGACACGGGATTGAGCAAGTAATTTACTGTAATGGTACAACATGTTGCTGCAGCCTTCAGATGGCCTGTGTACCCTTAGGATGGCAGCTTACTTCAGTCGTGCCCTGCATCAATCCTGTTTGGAACCTAAAAGGCAGGCAGAAGGGAGTATTTCTCTCCCAGCTTCTCTTCCCAACATTTGGAACATCTCCTTGGCCACACCTGTGGCATCTTGCCAGGAAACACAAGAATCCACATACAGATGTTGCTGCTTAATCCCCTCATTCCAGGTACAGGTATGCTGTTCCCTTTTTCCAATCCATTTGTTGGAATCTTTGCAGGAAAGAAGCAGCAGGATGGTTCTCCACAGGCTATGCAGACACTGTCTGAGGGACTAGGAGCCAGCTTCTCCAAGACTAGAACTCAGACCACTGTCCAAAGGAGCCTGGAGCTGGGTCTCGTTATCCTACAGAAAGAAGACCTATTAAGTGTGCAGACTGTGAATCTTCCGAAGAAAACATCAGTCATGTTATTGTTAGCACTTTATGAACACCAGCTGATCATCAAACTTGCCCTTATCTTCTTCTGTTACTGATGCAATGCCCAGAACTCTCACTGTTAAAAAAATGAGAAACCCGGGTGTACAGTGAGAGGTCATTTATTTAGATTGTGGAGATTTGGACAAGTACTTCTCTTAAAAAGAACAATTTAACAAGTATTCAGCAAAAATAAAAATAAAAAATTGGCCCATCTCCTTTGTAAGGAAAAAAGGTTTCTCCTTTGAAATGAATACAAACCAGAACCAAAGAGAAAGGCACTGAAAAGAGAGAGAACAAGGCATAGCACTGGCTGTCACCTGTTCTCAGAATGATGAAAATACTGAGGCACCTTCCAGTAGAAGAGACTGAAGACTTTGAAATGAAGACATGCCGAATTTTCAAATTCTCTCAGTGTTCCCATGACATCTTGTGCTATTTACTTCATCCACTAAAGCTCTGGGAATTAAATGGCTAATAAGATTGGAATGTCAAATTTACAAATACAAAGGGGGGTGAATGGCCATCAGGATTGCAGCTCGAATGATAATGGCTGAAAAGCCAGCAGAGCTGGCTTCACAGTGAGGTATATTAATACATTTCCAGCAGTGAAGAGAAGAGGTAGTACTACCACTAAACTGGAAATGGCTTTCTTGATTTTGTTCCTTTAAATTAACGCAGAAGTTAAAACTTTCTTTCAAAGAAAAAACCAAATCACTAACAAAAATTTGCAGTAACTGTAGTCAGAGCACCTTTTTCAAACAAAATGTCTTTATAAGCAATAGAGTAATATGGCTACAGTGGTGGGTTTTGTTAATATTAAAAAACATAGAACAGACAAATTGCAGTCGTAGAAAACTGTACAAAAACCATCAATGCTTCTAACAATTATAGTAAGTTTAAAAAGTTAATAAAGTAAATAAAGATATGAACAAGGATACAAAGAGAAAATTTACTGGCTTATGAAAATACTTGCACAAAGCTATCGTCAGCATAATATCCCCAAGAAAATATAAAAATAGATACAGAATTTATGCAAATTGGCTCTGGAAAGTATGTCTTTTAATATATTTTATCTGGCCTTAAAGAGGATACTAACAATTTATACTTTGAACGAGAATTCATTTTGCTGTACTCACTCTCTGAGTACATTGTTTAATGTACTCAGAGAGTGAGTACAGCAAAATGAAATTAACACCTGCTGCATAGACAAGAAGTCCTGTTACTTGCTGATGAAGAGTGAAGCTCTTGAACACACGTACCCCTCATAGCATGGTCCAGAAGGCAGGCAAAGCACACTGACGTATAGCAACACTAATGGCACATTAATATGCCTCATCCTGTACCTCTATTCCTTTAAGGCCAAGTATAGATTTGTTTCATCATCTCTGAAAAGGCCAATACGAAAACTAAACCCAAGTCCCCTTCCCCTAGCTGTTTAAATAAGAAGCTATTTTTCCTGTCTTGTCAGGCAAAATTCAAGATGATTTCTGGTATAATTGACAGTATTTGGAAATACAATACAACATTTCTTATTAAACTAGCTTCTGAATTGCCCAAAATATTCAATACAATCAGGCAGTGCGTCAAACCCCACACAGAAAGAACAGCTCAGCTCTTTCTGATAGCATTAAGATGTCACATATAAATAAAATCCAAATTTGTTAATAGCATTTATGTGCAAAGTGTCCCCAACATATGTGGAAACTGCTTTCTCTGGTAGGCTTTGCAAGTTTGCAAATGAAGTATTTTCAAATAAAGTATTCATATTTAAGAGGCCAGGGATATGCACTAATGAAAGTAGAATGTTAGCTGCAGTTTCCTAACTTATCTCATAACTTCAATTACAACTGGATCTGCATACAAAACCTGTCAGTAATGTACAACATCAAATATGAGAGTGATTAAGAAATCCCCATAAGTGTACTGTTCAAAGACTAAATAAATAGGTTAAAATATGCATATCAATTTTAAAACCAGAAAATAGTATCCATGAAGACATTACTAAGTTTCTACATTCCAATTCATAACTTTATCATAGTCCTGAATTCGTTGTTTTATGTGAGAAAGCTTATTCTTCAGATATTCACAACGCTCCTTTTTCTCCAGAAATGCAGGATCCTGCCAAAAATACAAAAACCTTTACATTAATATATTAGGCTTTCAGACTCTTCCAAGAATAGTCTATTATCGATTATCTTCTTGACTAAAAGGACAGTATGTAAATATTCTCAAAAAAATCACACTCTTTTCCCCTGGCCCTTTCTTATTTCCTGTTTCCCTTTCCTTCATGAAAGCCCAGAAGAAAATGTTCTGCCCTTATATGCTGTAAATAGAGCTGTTTTAAAGCAGGAATCTGCAAATATAAATGACACCCTAATATGTAATTTGGACTTTACACATGTGTTTGTTATATGTGCAATACACCCTTCCCCTCAAAAAAGCAATGAACTAGCAAGGACATAAATTCCATGGAGAAAAAAATGCGTATTTGTAATGCATGTTTTTAATGGAACAGAGATACATATTTGCTTACTGCATTTAAAAATTATGAAGAGAAACCTCTTGGATTACACTGAAAATTACCTTCTGAGAGTGTCTAAATTCCATGGCTCAAAAAATACAAAATTTCTTTTAAAGTGTAAGACTATGTTTTCCGGTTTTATCCATTGGCTGTGTCAGTCAGTGAATATAACTGAACTAATCTTCTGAATGCAGAATGCTAAGAGATTAAACATACTCTCAAAAGATGAAAATGCTCAACTCTTGTTTTTTCCCCACATGTGGCTACTGGAATCATTATTCTCAAAAATGCTCGTTGGCATGAGTGTATAGGTTGTGACCTAACTTTGCCAAAGTTTGAGAAGACAAAATAGACAAAACACAACAGGTACCCTGAGATACTGAAATCTGCCTAGCATCAGAAGTATTGTCTGTTTACACTCTCTTGGCTAGTCATTAGATTCAATAGCAATGTAAATTTAAAATACTTACATTTTTCTTCTTCTTGTATTCTTGCAGAACTTTTGATATCCTTTCCTGTTCCTAATGAGAAACCACAGATTTTAAACTTTGAGTGTGCTCCATATATGCATGTATGTACTACAAAATACTCATCAGAATTCTCAATTCATCAATACCTTGTGGTTATAAAATTTTAGATGTAAACATTGTATTTGAGAAATAATGAAAATATATCAACTGTAACTCACTAGAAATTAAAAGCTACTAGTATGAAACAAAGAAACAAAATCCACCAGAAAACCATGTATATGTCTTAACTGGAACTTGGTATCGCTAACTAATGCCCAGAGATGATGTAACATATGGGGAAACTTCCTCTCACACCAGGTCACAGCCACGTTAGAAGACATTGTGCACTACCTGAAGACAGTCAAAAACGGCCTAATACCACCTAATACAACTATTTTCCAAGAGCCCATTTCACAGGTACTTACATATATGCTTTCAGGATGGTGTGGAAGCTGTTTTAGCAGTGCATCCAGCTCATCAAACTTTTTTAATACAGCATGAACTTCCATAGACAGTTCTTTATACTCCGCAAACTGATCATTGAATACTGCTTTGTACCGGTCTCTCATTTCATTTGTTTGAATTACAGGGTATTTCCTGAAAAAAAAAAAAATTGAAGAATTAGTTTTAAGAGATACAACTGACTAACATCATTTAGACTCTTCATCTTGACGGTGTATTTTTTGCTAATCTCATAACCTGCTGAAATTTGCACATCTGTAAAGCATTGAAATCAGAGAATCACAGTATAGCTGAGGTTGTGGGAGATGTCTGGAGGTTATCTGATCTGACCTTCTGCACAATCAGGAACACTTGGACCAGGACTATGTCCAGGCAGCTATTGACATCTCCAAGCATGGAGACTCAGTCTCTCTGGCAAACCCTCAATGAGAAAATTTTTTTCCTAATATTCAAGTGAAACCTCCCTTGTTTCTATTTGTGCCCATAGCAAATAGTATAAAAATTAATTTATGATATCAGACTTGAAAAGCCTACCTTGTAAATGGGAGCATGTTACAAACTCAGCATTAGAAAGTATAAGAGTAGTCAAATTTCAGGCCATAAAAAGACAATTTCCCATGTATTTTAGTTTCTTCCTCTAATATATATATAGTGGTCTTCTGTTCCTTTGGCAGTTAATGTACTTGCTAGATTATGACATCCTCTTTCTACATTTGAGGTTTGTGGGGTTTTAGTTTTTTAATTAAGACTCCTTATTTGTATTTATTAGTCTTATGCCACTGATACCAGCCCCATCCTGTCTGCTTTTTAATGTTAACACACAATTGTGAGTTCCCATAGCATGTGCATGGGAGAGAAACCATTGGAGAAATGCAGAGTGAAAAACTATTCAAGTATCCTCCACTAAGCTGTCCATCAAAATCAAGTCACTTACGCTAAGTAGTCTGGCATCACTATAGGTTTAGGAATGTGACCTGCAGGTATATGACCATTAAGTAGCTCTGGTTTTCTTTCCAGTGATTTGAGCTGCCTGTAACTGATTTCTTCTCTTGGTCTGTCATCACCTTCATACTGTTTTAAAAGAGAAAGAATTTGTTCTTAATGATATCAGTTTTACATAAGTCACAAAATATGCAACTTTAAGACAGAGCTACATATATTGAGCAGCAGTAGAAGCAAATCACAGATATTTCTTACAACTTTTATTGCAATTAGATGATCAGTTTAATGACTTACAGTAATGCTTCTCATGCAGTATTTTTCTTAAGTTTTTCCTAATAGCAGTACATATAAATACTTCTGGAGGTTCGGAAAGATTTGTTTGAATGTCTTAAAAGAATAGTGTAAGGAAGTTTCCTTCAGTATTCATTTAATTTGTGAATGGACTGGAATCATTCAGTTCTTTGGAGTTCCCTTTTCTCCTTGTTTCCTATTGCACAATTCAGCCTTTGATCCAGAAATAAATGTGAAATCTTAGAACAAAAACAAAAGGATCCTGATCAAGTACCGAATCAACAGAGAAAACAGTGGTAGGAAATTCACAGTGTCTATGAGGAGACATTTAAGGCTGAAATTAATACATCCTAATTTCTCTGGAAAGCCCATGCCATCTTTGCAATGTATACAATGACACTTTGTGTGGCTGAAACACTAACACTGCTGATGCTCAAATTGGCAAGGGCATCTTTGGAGCAGTCTCAGAGATCAAGGAAGATGCTGAACTCACAGTGCACCTACACCTACACGGTGCTTCCGCTGGCTCTCCTGCAAATTAAACGCACACCCAGGAAGAAAGAGAGTCTCAAATCTACCTCTCATCAGATGACCTATTGTTTTAGTCATGCCTGCTAAATTCTGTGATAAATGCTACAGACCTTGTCACCTCAGAGAAAAGGGTAAGAGCACACAGAGAGGCAGCCATCACATCTGCTATTTTACAATTTTATAGATGTTGTCACCTAGCCTAACTAGGAGTAAGTTCTTTTGAACCTCCTTTTGAATCTTCTAGGCAGGAGACAGCCGTCCAAACTAAACCTAACTTAAAAAACTAAACCTAATCTCCTTGAGGTCAAGTAAATAAATAAATAAATAAATAAATAAATAAATAAATAAAAATAGTCACAAGGAAAACAATAATAATTTAGAATTACCAATAAACAGAAAAACTAATTTCTATTTCCTACCTTCTTTTCTGGAAAAGAGGATTGTGTTTTCATCTATTAAAAAAAAAAGGAAATAACTAAGTTTTATTTACAGCAAAAATAGTATGAAAAATCACAGACTGCTAACATTTAAACATTTTCAAAATCATACTGTACAGAAAATTACATTTATACTTAGGTATGATGAAATTTAGCATAAGGAGTATTTTTGGGTCCACTGATTTAAAGACTTGTTGTTTAAGGAAAACAGCCACACAAACCCTAGAACAATAGGATGTCCCAGAGCACAGCTGTAAAGAACAGCTGTGAGGAATTGCAGGAAATACTCCATCCACTTCTCAAGCTCCTTTATTATTGTTTCACATTCCAACCCATGTTAACTCACTAACACGCTGAGCCAAATTCATTACTTAGGACACACAACAGTGCACTAACCAGTAGCTCAACCTGCAGGTGTTTTGCACAGTATGCTCCAGTCTCTAACCTCTGTTATTAAAAGTATTCCCTTTAGAAAAGTTTAGTAAGTGGACTAAAAGACCTTGGAGAGTAACAGGGAAGAATGAACACTTTGTGTACAACTCTGGCAAACACCTCACTCTTGCAGGACATACTATCAGTTGGTTAAAAAACTTTTATTGAAGAATTATAATTAGTTTTCAAAACAAAAGTCTCAGTTTTATGCAAGATGGTGAACTGGAAGCCAGTGTTAAATAAAAATGCTGCAAATCAGACTGCAGTCACAGAGCAGAGGAAATACAACTTTAAACTCTCTTCTTCTAAAATCCCTTAAAGGCTGAGCCCCCCTTAATTTAGGCTTATGTACGTTTCACATGTATTGATTTTCATGCTATATTAAGTAGTACTCATTTTTAAAGGGTCTTTTGGTGATGTTTTCAAATGAAGGAAGTTTTACACAAATTACTTTCAACTCTCTAGATAAGAGTGTTAAATCTCTACTGTTATAGTTTATCATTAACCAGGCAAATACTGAATGCTTCTAGTATGGGCAAGGCCAGTAGCCAGGCAAAATATCTGACATGAGAAAGATGTGGCTGACTGAAATTTGAGACATCAAAATCTAGCCAAGGCTGTTTTTACAAATATTTGCTGATAACTATTGTGAGGAAAGCCGAAAAGTGATAAAGAAGTTGCTTGGAGTTTCGCTCACAAAGTAAAAAGACGTATTTCACATTCTTAAGTTTATCCACACTAGCACTTGATGTGCTGAACGCACAGGTTTCGAATAAATGTTAGGTGGCTTTAAGCCACCTAACCCTGCTGAACAGATGAACATTGTTCATTTTTTCCTTTGTTTGGAAAATACACACTAGGAAGTATTTCATCAGCTGACTCAAGAAGAGAGCCCAGTATTATATAGAGAACAGAGCCAGGTCCTTACCCAAGGTGAATTACAAACATTTTAAAAAAAACATAAACCAAAACTTGTCCAAGACTTTGAATCTGACACCTTAAAAATGCCTTTCATTTGTCAGTTTCTAATACTTAAAGACTGGTTAAAATTCAGCCTCAGGGATATAGATCTGCTGTAGAGAAGACACTTGATTTGACACAGTCTACGACACGGCAAGATCTTACAGCTGCTCCCCATCATGTGGTACCCCGCAGATAGAAAACGACAACTAATGACTTACCTCCTGTTCCATTAATTCCCTGTGCCTCCTGGCCCCTTCGTGCCTCCACAACTTTAGGCACACCATCGCACTAATTAGATAGAGGATCACCGTGACAAACAAGAAGATTATTGCAGCAGTCTGACCGCCCTCCACACGGCAAAAAGCCGCATTTATCGGAGTCTTAAACAACTGGTAATAGCACAGCCCACCTCGGTTGGTATCGTTTACGTACACTATGGCAGCAGACATGTACAGGATGAACAAGGCCACATTGATCCCAAACTCGGTCAGAGGCCACCAGTTGGAATCGAGGAGGATAGTTCGGTAGTACATGGACATGCCCAGCACGAGCAGCACTATGGTGACGATCCACGCCATTCCCGCCACCACCAGGATGAACGGCGTTTTGGGCCCGCTGTAGGAGTACCCCCCGTAGGCGCTGCCCGCCCCGTATCCGTAGGGCTGCGAGTACCCGAACATGTTGTACCACTCGTTGTCCTTGTGTACGTAGGCAGTGACACAGGCGAAGACGGCGGCGCCAAGCAGCAGCTCGGCCACGCCGAGGAGTCTGAGCAGCCCTGCCCAGGATTTCATGTAGGCGTAGCGCTGGTGGTATTCCTCCACCCGCTCGCTGTACGTCTGCCCAGTGCCGGCGCGACGCTCCAGCGAGCCCGAGGGATCTCCGGAGGGCAGCATGGCCTCGGCCTCCTTCCGAGAGTTGTAGCTCCCGCCCGACCCCCCGAATGGGTCCGTGTAGGAGCCAGGCACCGTCCTGGTCCCTGGCTGCAGCGGGGCGGGAGAGGCAGGCGGCGAGCACTCGACCCCGTCTGAGATATACCTGATGTCGGAGGTCGTGCTGTCCCAGCTGGAACCGGGGTGGCGTCTCCCTTTGAAGAAGTTCTTCCACGAGTCCGGAATGAACCGCCGAACCGGCTTGAGCTCTGCCAGCCCGCCGAGGCTCGGGCTGGCCCGGCCTGGGCCGAGGGGGGGCTGCAGGGGCAGCGGGGGCGGCGGCGGGGCGGCGGCGGACCCGGGGCTGGCCCCGCGGGGCAGTGGGGACCTGCCGGGCCGCCTGCCCTGCGAGCTCCGCGACATGGCCGATGCTCAGCCCGGCCCCGCTCGCCTCACCGGACGTGAGAGAACTGCCGCGGGGTGCCAAGGGCAGCCGGCGCCGGGGAAGGACGAGCCGGGCGGAGAGCGCCCAGAGGCCCCAGTCACGCAACACCTGCGGCGCCCCGGCGGCCTCACCTGCGGCGGCCCCACGGCCTTCGCCCGGGGAGGCGGGAGCTTCCGGCCGGCCGGGAGCGGCGGTACCGCCCCGGCCAGGAGCGGCGGGAGGTTTCCCGAAACCGCGGCGCGCCAGGGGTGCGGGCGCCGGCGGGGCGCGGCCGGGCCTCGCAGGAGGGCTGGACGCCGTTTCTCACAGCATGACAGGATGGGTCAGGTTGGAAGGGACTGCAGAGGGTCATGTGTTCCAACCTCCCTGCTCAGCTGCTCAGGGAGAGTTATTCTAGAGCACATCGCACGGGATTGCGTCCAGACACTTCTTGAATATCTCTGGTGGAGGAGACTCCACTATCTGTTCCAACGCATCGTCACTCGCACAGAAATAAAGGCATTCTTCAGCTGGAACTTACTTTGCATCAGTTTCTGCTCATTGCCTCTTGTCCTATTGCTTGGCACCACTGAGGAGAGCCCGACTCCGTCCTCTTGATAGTTTCAATGTACATACTTACAAACATTGATAAAGTCCTCTCAGTCATCTCTTCTCGAGGCTGAACAGGTACAACTTCTTCAGCCTTTCCTGGTAAGAGAGATGCTTCAGTCGCCTCATCATCCTTGTCACCCTCCCCTTAAGGAGCTTCATGTCTCTCTGTACTGGGCGCCCCAGAACTGGATGCAGCATTCCAGGTATGACCCTGCCAGGGCTGAGTAAAGGGGCAGGATCATCTCCCTCGACCTGCTGGCAATGCTATTCCTAATGCACTGCAGGATCCTGTTGACCCTCTTACCATAGGGGCACTGCTGGCTCATGGACAGTGTGTTGTCCAGCAGCACCCCCAGGTCCTTCTCCACAGAGCCGTGCTTCAGTCCCAGCCTGTGCTGGTGCTTGGCCAGCGCCTGGCACAGAGCTGGCCCAGTGATGGGGAAACCCATGGCACTGAGCAGTCTGTTTGGACAAACCAACGCTTCTGCCATCATTTATCAGGTTCAGGAGCTGAAGAAGAAATCTGGTGTGCTGCACCATTGTCTTCTGCAAAGGGCTTTCTACATTCACTACAAAATCTGCAGCTGAGTATAAAACAGCATTAGGAGTTCTATTTAAATGTGTCAGTATGGCTATCAATTTGTCTGTGGTATGCTTCAGTCTCTTCTTTTATAAGGTTTGAAATTCCAGAGTGATCATTTTTAAGGTATAAATTTTAATGAAACCTTCAAATGCTCACAACTTATCAATCTTGGACTCTGGAAACAAACTGTACAAATGCAAAGTAAATAAAAATGTGTTAAAAATAAAGAGTTATTCCTTAATTGAATAAAAAAGAAAGTGTTCTTATAAATAAGTTCTAAGATTACCTCCCAAAATACCTTTAGAGTAGTGTCTTCCTAATATCTTACATAAACGAAATCTGACCTAAGAAAAATAATCACCAGTACCATATGGGGTAAATCAAAATGCACTTAGAATTAAAGACACTGGAAAGTAATTATTTCATATGTTTAGTTCAGTGTCCTGTTTGCATTATTTTGGATACTGAAGTTGATATATCTATTTGAAGTGTTTCTCACATTTTCATAACATACTTACAGATTGCCTCCAAATAAAACCCTACAGTCTATAAGCTATGTATTTATCACACAGTTATCATTACTTACCTTGGAAAAATAATTAATCCAGATGGTAAAGCCTTGGTTAGGGCATAAAACCTTTTATTAGGAGTAATTAACATAGCTTAGAGACCAGATGTCTAAACACTCTTTTTTGGATTACATACCATACCCAGGAATCACCTGGGACTTGCTTCATTATACACATTTTTTAAATGTACTGCAAACTTTGGCTTTGTTTATTATCACAGGAGAAAGCTTTTAAAGCCTTTAAAAGGATCAGTAAGCAATGAGGATCTAGTTAATAGAGTCTATGGGATTTCCAAAAAGCTTTTTGCCAAGTTTCCTGAAGCAGACTTATTTTGAAAGGAACCGTAAGCCTTAAACTAAGGCTTAAGCCTAAAATAAGAACTTCACACTTAGGTTTGATAAATAATTAACAGACAGGAAGGAAATTGAAGAAGGGAGTATGAGTTAATGGTTAACTCCTGGAATGGAGGAAACTTGCCACTACAGCTCTGCAGAGATCAGCGCTGGGACCTGGGCTACCCAGTACATTCATAAATGCAGCTTGTGCAAAAAATGGAACCCTGTGAACATTGAGATGAGCAACTTTGCTGCTGATGCTAAGTTAGACAGGTCAGTAAGGATGTGCTCTGCCAGAAGGATTGTGCCAGGACTTTATGATACTGAATGGCAAATTACATCACAAATTCAGCATACTAAAAAACCTGAAATCCAGGCAGTATAAAAAGAGATGAAGTATTTAAAATACTGCAACATGAGGACCCTGACTCATGTACTCATAAAGCATGACATATGCCTCATTTCTGATGAGACAGATACTTATTTAATTCTATAAATTTACTTAAGTTTTAAATAAGTTATTGGTGTTGTTTCAAACTGTGAATTGACACAGGCAGGCAGTCAGAACAGCTACAAACTTGCAGTTAGAAAAAAACCAATAAATTTATTTCCATTTACCTTGCTAATGAGGGGATGCCCAGAGCAGCATCAGGCAGAGGCACAAGCAGAGATCGTTTGTGCTGGGGGATCACTGGACTGTGGTTCTCAGAGGCTTATCAAAAGTTATTTCCAACTGCAAGGTCGCTTGAGTGATTTACAATCCTTCTCAACAGTCTTCCAAGCTTTAACCCATTCCTCCCAACACAAACCTAACAGGAGAGCTTAATTCTTGGCTATGTTGCTGTGTGACTAGAAGCATAATTATTTACCCACCATATCTACACACTATATGTGGGGTTTTAGTTAGGCAAAAGGAGAGGGAATATTGACATTTTGGGTTACAAAAAATGCATCAGTATGCATACTGATAAAAAAACCAAAACCAAAAGTCAACGAACGATCAACTACCTCACAACTAAGTGCAAGAGTTACACTCAGTGGGTTTGCTGACATAGCATTTTAAGGCAATAGATCCATCTAAATATGCTTTGGTTGTAAAGAGCAGCTTGAAAAGAATTTAGGATCAAGACAGTTCTCTTGATACTGCAAGGGAGGGACTTAACAGCAAAACAGGAATGAAAAACCTGCTATGCCACAATTAATCTATATACTCTTGCAAGGAAAAGCAGCAAGATGGCTTTAATGATAATGACACATAAGCTGCTGAAGAATGAATCTAGAAAATATATAAGCAGTTAATATATGATCACAAATATGGTGAATTCCACAATTTCTGCCTTCACTGGATATTATAATTTTTATCATTCAATTTTGCCATCTGTGCAGACCAACATACTCTTTTTTTTTTTTTTTTTTTTTTTTTTTTTTTTTTTTTTGCTACACTCTACAAAAGTACTGGTTCAAATGTAAGAAATTGACAAGCACTTGGTATCTCCTGAACAAGCTATTTTTGATAAGCACTTAAAGCACTTAAAACCTGTCACTTTTGCATGACAGTTTAATGTGGTTGAAACTGCACAAGCTTAAAGTTAATATTAGGAACATTTTGTGGTATTTCTAAATTACTTTTTTCTCCATGAACAAGGAATTAAGATTCTCTCAGAAATACAGAAAGAGACTAAATTGGACACAAGGAACAAAACTTGTAAGAGGCCCCAAATTTATTCTTTCATTTAAGGAAAAATACAAATGCATCTCTTCAAGCAACTATTTCCATAAAAGTAGCTTTTAGTAAAATATGTGACCAGTTTAACACTGGATGGAAATCTTATCTGCACTACTTACTTATCTAACAGATTTATGTGTAATATCTCCTTCAAAGCACCAAACACATACCTTTTTATTGATAAGGAACCTCTGGGGCTCAGATATGGTCCAAAAGCTCATACTTTGGGTGTAGTTTAACAGTCATTAAGGTCATACTAAACTAGACATGTGATGCAATATAGTTTGTAAGAAAGTAATAGTCTTGTACCCTTCATGAATAGTTAGAGAAAAATCTAGAAGTTCAGTTTCAGGGTATTTGAAAAGGCATATATGAATAAGAAATTACATTCCCATTTCTAGATATTATTCCTACAAAGGACAACAGCAGTACTCAAGTATTCATTGTATCTCTGCCAAAATTTATGTCAAAAAAAAAAGTTTGCATAGATGTAAAGGTACAGGTTGAACATTTTTGCAGACATGTCTGATTTTTTTACAGCATCATATTAAAAAAAAAAATTCAAACAAACCAAACAGAAATAAACAAATTAGAAAAAAATTAGTTCAGGGTTTATGCATTGTAAAAGGAAAAATAGCTTATAAAATCTATTAGATTTAGATAGTTAGGGAGCTGGCATTCATGACCTGAGAAGTGGTGCAGGAGGAAGGCTGTTTTCTTCACAGCAAAAGCTAATGGTGAGGTGTAGGGACAGGAGGTTTTGCTGCCTGAGCTCGAGCTCAGATTCCTCCTGACATTGTGGAGCAGAAGGATCAAAGGCAGCTGTGAAAAAAAGTTGCAGCAAAGGAAGTTCCACCCCCTATGGTCAGCTGGTCAGAGAGAAAAAGAGGCAAAGTCTATCAAAATTAGAATACAGATGAGAAGGAGCAAGAACAGAGACATGTAACTGCATGAGTAGCAACTTAACATGTATGTTGAACAGGATTTCGAGCAACTACTGTCTTCATCGAACAATATGTTACATTGTTTTCAGTTCCCAGGACATTCTTGATGCAGCCATAAGTACTTAATTGCATAGTCAGTGTTACATAGTTGACATCTAATTAGTTACATTATACTTTATTAAATTATTTTCATATCGCCTCATCTCCTTATTTCTCCTCAAATGATTTTGGAACTATACATTGTTGCCTAAACATGGATGGCCAATGTCATCATGGATCCCGAATTAGTGGAGTGCAGATAGTATTGCAGTATAATAAGTATAAAATTCTTATGAACCACAGTTTTTAATGTTAAAAACTCACAATGTGGCCCCATAAAGGGAGCAGGAAGGAAGTAAATTTACAGAACCTGAGTGTATAAAATGTTGAATTTTTGATATTAGGAAAGTGGAAAGCATTATATAGAGGTAGAAAGGGAGACATGGCAGCAAAGAGAGGTGGAAGAACTTTCCAGGTCAGCAAGGAGTTCACATATATTTCTCTCTGACAACAGACGTAAAGGAGGTGAGAGAAAA